TAATGAAAAACGTCAGTCAGTATTTGACTTAATGATATATTTTACTGACAAGGTCATTGTATCGACCTTAGAAGTTACGATTTGATGACGAGACTCTAATATTCTTCAAGTTGTTTCATCAACTTCTTTGTCAATAACTTACTTGGTTTTAGAAAATGTTCATACGCAGAGCATGCTCTTGCGTATCGAATCATCCGAGAGATGTGTACCCTGTATGCAGGCGATAAAGGCACATAACTGCTTAAGTAAAGGAAGTTGACGATTGAAAAGTTAAAGTCATAACGTTTATCTTAGATATTTGTTGTTAGATTATCAAAGTAGTCTTACAGTCAAATATTAAAATATGAAACAGATGTGTCCGACTCGATGGTATCTCGTATTGCAAGCTAACCGGGGTATCGAGATAAGCATGTTGATACCAATTGTTAATTAATAATACGTCGTCGATATATCTCAATGTCAGTTTGAATAACACAGAAACTGTTTTTTTTTGTTGTGGAAAGAATAGAAATGCGTCTTGATCGTATAGTGGTTTATTTTAGACTCTGTTATTAACTATAGAAACATAACGTACAGTATTGTGACGTAACAATAACGTTAACGTACGTTACATAAACCCGCGGATAATCCGTGACACTCCGGGCACCGAAATGAATTATACTAGAATATTAGAAAGTTCAAATCAAATTAACAGTTCATGGAAATTAGACAAGTTAATAATCACTTAATTAAGAGGTCCATTCACGGATTCTTTCTTTGGCTTTTGTTTTTGACACTCTATCCTCTTCTGTTCAGACACTTTATCTGCCAGGTTTTGTATCAGAGTCTCAGTTCCGGGGTGTTTGTGACATAGTTCTGTGTTAGATTTCTCCAGTTCCATGTTTCGAGTCCGTAGATTGGCATTTTGTTTATTATCTCTGCCATGTCCCTGATATTCCTTTTCTGTGATTTTTCTTTTTCCTTCTCCAAATTGTTGTGGAAAGAATAGAAATGCGTCTAAAATAAATGGGGAGCAAGTGGCTCCAAAGAGCACTGCCTTGAAACGGTAAGGCACTAATGAACTGTTGACATCATTTGGGTCCTTTAACCAAAGGAATCTCGTTGCATCTCGGTCATTTTCATGTAAACCAACGTGTAGAAATGCTTTCTCAATATCAGTGGTTACAGCAAATTCGTGTAATCGAAATCTTGTCAGAATTGATGTCAAATCATTTAAGATGGGTGGCGTTGAATCCAAACAGTCATTAAGACTCGGCTTGTCACGTGATTCGCGGCAGCTACAGTCATACACTATCCTGATAGGTGTGGTGCTGGAATCCTTTTTGACATAATGGTGTGGAATATAATGTACCACAGAGGATGTTTTTGTATCTTCCGGAACTTTTTCTATAAATCCTTTTCGTTCCTGTTCTTCAATTATCGCACTGTATTTCTTCAAAAGTTCTGGGTTGCTACTTAGTCTGTTGATAGTACTTTGGGTTCTTTTCAGTGCAATTCCATAATTCGATGGTAGCTCAGAATGGTCATCTTTCCATGGCAACTTGGCGTAGTATTTGTCGTCTCTAAACTCGATGCATTTATCTTGGTACATCTTGACTTTATCATTGGAGTCGTTCTTATCTGGTGTATCCGTGATTCCAATGTTCTCTAATTCCCAGAAGCGTTCCAGTGCTTGTTCTACTGATGTATGCATAGCTATTACGTTGTAGATGTGATCCCTGGCACTGTTTGTATAAGATGATTGAGAAGTTGGTCCTGAAAGCAGAAATCCAATCTTTGACTTCACAGCAGTGGGTCCCGATCCCCGGATGACTTGATTTTCTACAATTCTCCAGTAAAAATCTGCTCCGATTAAAAAGGAAATAACAAATTCGCTGTCAATTGAAACCGGATGTGCTAATTTGAGTCCTTGAAGGTAAGGCAGTCTTTTTACTTCAGAAGAGTGGTAGCTGCTGAGAGGGCTTGCTATAGATGGTACTATCAGAACATTGATAGCAATCAATTCTCCTGAGTCGGTTATCAAATTGATAGTCGCACTATCTAGATACTGGACACTTCCATTTTCCCCAAAAGTAGATAGTTTAATTGCTTCGGATCTCCTTCGAGTGATTTCTAACTCATTGGCGAGTTTTTCTGTTATGAACGATCTTTGTGATCCTTCGTCAAATAAGATATTAGCATCGGTTGTTTGATTTTCATGACTCACAGGGGCGATAGCTGTTTTCAGTAAAACATTTGTAGGTCGATGTTCAACGTTCAGTACTGTGGTTTCTGCCTTCTTGCTCGTTTCTACAATGTTGACACTTGTTGATCTAGTGGGCTCGTCTTTGTCCTTCGTTTGTTTCATGTCGCATATACTTGTGTGGTGTTTCTTCTGGCACTTTTTACATCTGTTGCGGGATTTACAATCTGCGGCGCGGTGGTTTCCTAAGCAGTTGAAACACAATTTCTTCCGTTTTAAGATGTCGAATCTTGCACTTACTTCTGTAACTTTCTTACAATCCCCTGGAAAGTGATTCTCTGTGCAACAATAAATGCATGGGCGGCTCTTTATCTCTGTTGTTTCGATATAAGGAGTTGACTCTTTTGTTTTCTGGTTTTGTCCATAATGAACATGGCGTTGTTTCTTTGAGGCTCCGGTTAGAAACATTGCTGTTGCGTGGAATCCATCGCTGTTTTCAATCTGGCCTGATTCAAGGATTTTGACTTCTTTGCTGATAGCTTTACGAAGATTGAGTAGCGAAATGTTGTCACCATCGTACTCACGTGCAATGTTTTTCCTGATTTCAGCTGGTAGCTTGTTCATTATGACTGGAATAAGTAAAGCTCCGTACATCTCTTGTTTTTGTCCTAGACACTCTAAACTCCTGACATGAGATTCCAAGCAGTCTCCATAATTTCTTAAACTGATGGCGTCGTTTCTCGGGGCTTGCAGTTCCATAAGTGCTCTCATGTGACCATTGATGATTTTTTGCGGTTGACCAAATCGTTCCTTGAGCAGGTCTATGGCGGTTTCGTAATTTGCGTTTGTGAGAGTAAATCCTGCAATGGTTTGTGCTGCTGCGTCGCGTAATTGAGCCTTGAGATACGAAAACTTTTGAATTGGTGTTAAAGTTTGGTTGCGGTGAATTGTTGATTCAAATGAATCCCAAAACGTATTCCATTGTAATATATCCCCATCAAAATCTGGAAGATTTAACTTCGGTAATCTATGATTATTCGTAGCGTGGTTGGATGGTAATGACAAAACATTTTTCTGTCAAACCTGGTTGCTTTGTTCATTGAGATCAGAGGCAGGAAAATTGTTTAAAATATTCTCACAAGCCGTTTCACTTGAGTTAATTGCAGCTGACGTGTTTACGTTACTATCATGAATTTCTAAGGTGGGTACAAAACACTCAGCACTGGCGTTCAAAGTTTTACATGAAACTTTTTCCGTAAATGTTTCTGTTTTCTTAATTTTGCAATCTAATTCATACATATACTCATCTGTGTTCGTGATTTCTTCTTCTATGTCCTCTTCAGATAAGGCGTCTAATATTCGTTCATTTAGTTCTTGTAGAGTTTGTCTTTTCTGTGTTAGGGACTTCCTAATTATTTCGATTTCCTCCGTTACTTCACTGGCTGTATTTTCTTTCAAGTCCAAAAATCGTCCGAAAAGTTTCGTTACCGCTGATCTGTTACCGGCCCGTATGGCTTTCAGTCTTCCTTCCATTGTGCGTATATTATGTAAACATTCCGTCGATCACGGCACCAAAATTGTTGTGGAAAGAATAGAAATGCGTCTTGATCGTATAGTGGTTTATTTAGACTCTGTTATTAACTATAGAAACATAACGTACAGTATTGTGACGTAACAATAACGTTAACGTACGTTACATAAACCCGCGGATAATCCGTGACAAACACAGAAACTGTTTTTTTTTCCACGCATAAGATTTTGAATAAATTCTGCTTCATATGCATATAAAAATAGGTCTGCTTATAGCAAAGTGCAATCAATACCCATTGGAATTCCAGTAGATTGTTGGAAGACCTGGTCTCCAAAAATAACATGGATATTGTCAATCAGAATCTGAAGTATCTTATCAATTTTAATTTCAGAGTACTTATGTGTGGAGTCGGAGTATCTTTAAACAAATAAGCTTGCAAATGATCAATGGAAAGGTCAGTAAATCAATTTTTTTTAAATAAAGACAGCTGTCATTCATTTCAAAGAGTCGAAAAAAATAACACTCACTGCTGTCCCATAATTTACGATTATTTACAACATGTAACAGCTGTTTAATTATTAGTATTACTTATTTCTTAATTAATTAATGGTTGCACAAGGCGTGATCTTTTGGTATTGCAGATTTTGGTCTGATATCTTTTAGAGAATTCTTTTGCATATTTACCGTACATAAATCAAATAGCAAAAAAATTTCTTTGAACAATTAACGAAAAAAAAAAATAATTAGCCTTACGGTTACTATGAGTTTCACTCACGAGAAAAATGATCCGTTAGCAAAAAAAAACTGCATGGACAGATCGATTTTTAAACCTTGAATTTAAGAGTTCTAATAATTAAGTGGCAAATTTAAATCTTTAACGAATAACCGACGAAAAAAAATTAGTCGATAGTTGGATTGATTTAAAGACAGTCGAGTACTCGAATATTCGTTGACACTCCATGTACATATTTACCTTCAAAAACTCCATCAAATCTTTCTCACTTGTGTCTTTTTCGGCTTTGTTCAAGGACACAAATTTTCTAGAACAAGAAATAATTAAACGTATTCATATTTCAAATACACCGTATAAGGATTAATGTGTTATAACGGATATGACATATTGAAGAAAAAATTCTCAAGACTTGGTCAATATTTGATATATTTATGTCTTTTCAGTGTGTAAATAATGGACTAACAATTATAATGAAAAACGATAGTCAGCATCTGACTCAGTAAATTGTACTTCCTGACAATGTCATTGTATCGACCATAGAACTTACGAAATGATGACTTTAAACGAGACTGCTGATATTCTCGTTTTCCTCAACTTGTTTGTCAATAATTTACCTTGTTTTAAGAATTATTCATGCGTAGAGCATGCTCTTGCGTATCGAATCAACTGAGATATATAAGGTCCGTATGCAGGCAATGAAGGTATATTAGTGCATAGGTAAAGGGAGTTGACGATAGAAAAGTTAGAAATCACGTTTATCATGGAGCTTGGTTGTTGGAATACCAACGCCTTTTTCAAGTAAAATATCAAAATATAAAACAGGTGTGTCAGATTCTGTAGTATCTTTTATCTCAAGCTCACCGGGATAGATCGTATCGAAATAAGAATGGAAATTACCATTGTTCATTGACAAAACGTCGTCGATATATCTAAATGTCGAGTTTAAGGCCACAGCAAGTGTTTTCTTCTTTTCACGCATACAATTTTGAACAAATTCTGCTTCATATGAATACAAAAATAGGTCTGATAAGAACGGGGCGCAATCGGTACCCATGGGAATTTCTATAGACTGTTGGAAAACCTGGTCTTCAAAAACCATAGATATTGTCAATCAGAAAGTCAAACATCTGAGTGTTTGATGTCAACTTCAAAACTGAGTACTTGTACATGTATGTACAATCAGAATGTTTTTAACAATATAATTTTGCAAGTGGTCAATGAAAAGGTAGGAAAGTTTTTCAGTTCCAATTTGATTGAAAAAGCAGCTGTCGATGATATAAAAATCTTGGGCTTAAATTTACCTTGGGGAATGTCCGTGTATTAAGTTTATAAGCTGCTGATTTTGGTAAATCTTGTGATGTCAAATTCTCTAAAAGTTCTTTGGATTTTTTAAGTATCATTATCTGATTTACATCACTTCTTGAATACAGTATATTGTTACACAGTAATCTTGAAGTTTCTCCTTCACTACTCTTGAAGTTTCTCCTTTACTACTGTGGAAACCTTTTTGATGTCAATTTATATATACAGATACATTAAAGAATTGTAAAAATATTCAATGAAATTATTCATCTATAAATAGAATGACAAAGTCTTTGTTCTCTGGAAAAAGTGAGCGTTAATTTATATGTGTGTACATTTATTACCCATTATGACAACATAAATATGTTTAATTTTTTATAATTATGATAACTTTAAAGGCAGTTTTGTTACCTCTTCAATTTGGTCTCGATGTCTTTAAAGATTCCATCAAAAGTATCTTTTTCTTGGTTGCCCACGCCACTTGGCTGCTCTGTTATGGTAGTTTGAATTTTGTTTATACCTGGTTTTCCAATGAACTGTCTTCGATAAAGTTCACTTTCCTTGTCCCCAAACTGGGATTTAAAAAATTTGTCAATAACAGGCAAATTTCGTTTTGTGCTAAATTACGTGAAGCAATACAATAAGAGAATAATGGACCAATGCGCTCATCTAAGTACCACTAGAGGTATAATTTCTGACTAAATATTCTGATGCTATCCCAAATAATACTTTTTTTTTAATTTTTCATTCAACACATTCACTACATTTAGTTGATTGCATATCAGTTTGATTTGTACCTAAAGATGCAAGTTGTTAAGAGTAGAATACTTTTAAAGATATTTCATTTAACATGTTTTGATATATTTTAAATTCATAAAATCTTTTTAAAGCCAATGCATAAGAGATAATATTTTGATTGAAAAATTGAATTTGTATTTTTTCGGCCTTTGCACATGCTCTTTGAAAGAAGTCAAAAATGTAAATTTCGACAGTCATTATGCATTAGAAGAAAACTACATACACACTTCAATCGATCTAGGCTTTTTGAGCTTTGAAATTAATTAGCCTAACAACACAATGGAAATTTGGAGTTTTACCAATACGAATCCAAGTGTTTTAAACAAATCCTCATGTTTTTCTGGTTTAAATCTTCCATCGTATATTTCTGGCATCGATTCGACATCTGTCAGCTTCCTAAAGAAAGAGTGTTCTGGTTTCATTGAAAGCCACCACCCTGTAATGTTTTAAAAGCGACGAAAAACTTTATCGGGCAAGTGATATTTCACGTATTATTATTACTTTGGTAGTAATTAATTAGAAAAGATTCAAAAGAAGAAGTTACCGTCAAAACAGAATACTGGATAATTACACAACAATCCACCATCAACATATACCGCTTCTCTACCAGAACTCGCGTTTGTCATTCGCACGTCTTCAAAAACCACTGAAAATGATTAAAAAACATAATAATAAAAACGCCCATTCTTCTTCTTTTTGGGGGTAGAGGTATCTTTTTTATTGAAACTCGAAATGAAGAAACTCGCTGTCTTCAATCACCTTCGATTGATAAGTATCCATCTACTGGTAAGTTTTGGACGTGCTTTAGTAAACAATGTTTGATAAATTTTTTAAAAGGAGGAACTTATTTTTTATGTGTTTGTTCCATATTCCATTTGTAAGCATTATTGTACTGTCAATTATGTTCAAAAAAGGGTTGGGCAATTTTACAGCTCTAAATACATGTACCTGGAATGGACATAGACATTCTGACAGCTTGTCTGATCTCCATATGTGGTGTAGTCTTCACATGACAATATTCCTCTATCTGTGTGCTGATGTTGGTCACAACTATGCACAGTTCATTCCCATTCTCTTCGTACAACTTAAATAAATATTTAGATAACAATATGATTCCTTCTTTTAAACTTTTTTTTTCAGAACTTCTAAGATTTCTAAGAGAATGAATTCAAATCTTCTCGTCTAAGATTTTTTTTTTTCCCAAGACAAATCCCTTTTAATCATTGAAATTGTTTTCATGTTCAACTGAAATTGTGCAAATGTTTTAAAAATTGAAGTATCTAGACATAAATCCATCGATATTTTCAGAATTTACTCTGAAATTATAGTGTGACTTGTCATCTTACCTCCTTAAATGTGACTTTGCTTGAAAAGCCAAGTTCCTTGAATCTGTTTCCGAGCCAAGTTTAGAATTTTGCCCCAGTGTACATTCCAAATGACAAACTCCTGCAAGAGCAAACTCTGCAAAGAAGATTGCAGATGCCACAAGTTGTCAGAAAACAGGAGCTGATGCGATTCATACAACCAAGCCAGCATGTGCAGCAACACGGACAGGAGCAACAGCAACCTTGATTACAGCTACATAGTCCACAACAGCAATCTAGGTTTTAATAAAATTATTAAAAGTTAATTGTGTCCTGATGTTCTGTTAAGAACTTTAAACATAAGATGTTTATGGGAACCTCGTTTCAATGAGCAAAGATAATTTAATGTATGCATTAAAATTTATTGATATAGTTCTCTACAAAAATTGAAGTTTTCAATAAAAATATGTAAAAGACCACATTGTAAATGCACAGTGAGCATAATCAATAAATCCACAGATAATAAATTATACCTAATGAAAGACAGAGATTCCAAATTATACAATTAAAATCACCTTTCAGTAAATAGTCGAAGTTGATTCTCATGTACTCTCTGATACTGGACATTTCAAGGCGAGGAGTGAAGCAACTATGGATCCAGCACTAGTTCCTGCAAATCTTTTTACATTTGGCAAAATGTTTACCTGCTCCAGAACCTGTTCAATTTTTTGATAAAGATATTTTAAGGTCACGCAAAGAATACAAATCAAATTAAATTGTTTTTAGGTTTGAATTTTCGTCGATCTCACCGCCCGAACAGATGTACGCGCGTCTTTATCTTCTGTCATCCCTGAAACTGTTTTAC